CTAGCGGATTATATGAAACCTGCTATCTTCCATTTCCGTGAGAATATAGGTACTGCTACATTTCTTAGTAACCACAAAGATTTCCGCCCACTTTAAATAAGGAAGCTTGGGTAAAAATTCAAATTACATTCTGATTGTGTTGTTATTCCTATTTTTGTATGTTTATATTTTGGTTTATAGCCGATTACGGAACGCAGTAAAGAAAGGTGTACATGTCTGTCTGTGGCATCGTAACTCTTAAAGGAATGAACAGATTCTGATGAGGTTTTTTGTTTGATGAGATGTTAACGTGACAGCTTTATTTTTAGTTTTTTAAGACTACTCTAATACTGTTGGCCGCAGACGATATGGGGGGAGTGAAGTTGGCACTCAAACCCGCTGAAAAACTTATGGAGCGGCTGAAGGTCAACTACTGACTGACGGATACTTTAATCTGAGGGCATCACATGGTTTCTGAACCTCGACTCCATTTCGATCCCCGTTTGAATTAATCGGGAGATCGATCGTCGTACGACTAGTATAATTATGGAAATGTCCTTAGACTTACTTCATAGAATCATTTCTATAAGTAAGTAGTAAGTTCTCCAACCAGATCTCCCATGTACTAAAGGCTAAAAATCTCGTATTTGTACGGCATCCCAGTAAATAATACACAATGGCATCTTATTTTAGGGTGGCAACCCTATTTTGCGTACATAAAGCAGGCTGGACGCTCGCCGGCTTTGCATAGCTACCTCAACTGCTGTTTTATCTTTATTATATTTTAATTCGCAAACATTTTCTTGATACCTTGCGGTGGATTCATTCTTGTATAAGTATGAAATATTTTTAGTATTTTCGCGTTTGCTTAAGGTTTCATTTATCTCACTAGTTGGGTCCTGATGTCGAACAATAGGATATACATATGGTCTATCTTTTTTTTTAATAACTGAGAATTAATGAGAGTCCTTGATTTCAATCAATCGCTTTATTTTATACAAGGATGGCATATAATAAATTTAACTATATCTCTATATTCTGCACATGAGTAACCGTGCTTTTTTAAATGTTTAACAGTAACTTTTTCGATCGCTAAAAACAACAATAGGCACATAATATGTGTTTAATTAATTTCAGAATTAATTAATTAATTAATTATCGTCGCTACTAATGTTACCTGATCGCCGTCAGCCACTTCAAAATTTCCAAAGTAAAGTTCTCATACTTTATAAACAATATGTAGTAGACATCCGATAACTTCGACCTAGTTGTAATTAAAATTGTAATTAAATTCTACTTCGTTACTTTGATTAGTATTAAACTAAGAATACAACGCTATTTAGTAACACAGACGAAATTCTTAACATTATTTTATGAATTTAGACCTCGGTGGTCTAGCTAGCTAGCACACCGCCTTAATTCCGATGGTAGCGGGTTGGATTCCTCGTACAGCACAAATATTTGTATTGTGCCGTACGAGGAATTTGTATTCATGAGTATGGTTGTTTACACCGATCTGATTGTTTCTATGTATGTCTATACAAAAAAATATCTATTTGAGTATAACAGTTTCAGTATAACCGTAGCTCTGCTTACCGTGGAACTAGATGGCACGGTGTTAATTATCCAGGGTTATTTATTTAAATTTATTTGAATAACGATTTCTATTTCAAAATCATCAAAATCTGTACAAAATAGGTAACCTAGCGTAAACTCAATGTTGGACCATCCATCATTTTGAGAAGTAAGTTAAAAATCTGTCACATTTATACAACGAAGTTACCAACCGAATGTAACCCTAATCTCGCCTAATTCGGGCCCAACAGACCGCGCTAAAGAATTCTTCATTTACGCGACACACGCGCCTCACACTTTTTTATCTGCAAAGTCAACCCGAAAACAAAAGGTGTCGACAGGACATAAGCCCATAAAAACGTCGGTAGCGCCTTAGGTGACCATTTTTCATGCGAACTCGTGTGTTTGTAGTGATAAAATTTTTTGGGACATTCCGTCCCTTTGGGGTTCACAGCGCGGATTGATTTTATGGGATTCCATCGATTAGAAAAGGTTAGGCAGCTAAATTTATAGTACTATACTAGTAATCGACGAGTATTTGCTTATTTATTTATTTTCAATTCAATACAGACTTAACTATTACCTGAAATTTTGTCTACGCAGACTTTCAACCCCTATTTCACCCCGTTCTACATTATATATTATCTCCATCCATATCTATATAATATCATTACGAACCATTCAGCCGTTTAGTAGTGAAAACAGATAGACAGATAGAGTTTTTCTTACTTATAACATTAAGTATGGATATTATAAACTGAAGAGTTTGTTTGGTTGAACGCCAGATTCTCAATCTCAAGAATCTCAGAAACTTATCGTCCTAATTGAAAAAATCTTATTCTGCTGTTGGATAGTCCATTTTTAGAGAAAGGCTATATATAATAAGCTATATATATATATAAAACGTCACGCTACGATCACTAGGAGAGGAGTATCAATGCAAAATGTTGAGTTTTTTTCGGATTACTCTAATGTTGTTGGCTGCTGGCCTTTACAGTTTCACCGGACGATAGGGGGCGAGTACAGATGGCACTCCAAATCCGCAGAAGTACTTACGGAGCGGCTAAAAGCGAACTTCCCGCCTGACGGATACGACTTTAGTCTGTGGGCACCGCTAGGGGTTCGAACCTCAGCGCAGGCCATCGTAATTTCTATCCCCGTTTGAATTGGACAGGGAATCAATCGAAGTGGATAGACGTTGATGCTACCTGCGCATAGTTAGTTATTAATATTATTAATTTGGTCTTAACACGAATATTTTATGATAGATAATAATAAAGAACTCTTTATGAGTACACAGAAGAAATATAATAAGAAAAACATTAATTACAAAAAGCGGTCTTATAGCGAATAAGCAATTTCTTACAGACAACCTGGAAGAGAGGACTTATGTACATAGAAAAGGTAGATGGCACACACATGACAATATATATATTAAACAAATAAATAGACACATAAATTATGTATAAATATACTAGCTGAGCCCGCAAACGTTGTTTTGCCGTATAAATTAAAATCGTTATTTAAAAATAAAGGTAGATAGAAGGGTGAAAATATAGGGTTACATGTATTTTTAATACCACATAAAAAATAAGATTTAGTAAAATTTTTTTTAAAATGTTAAGGGTGGACAACTCTTATCACTTAGGGATGTGAAAAATAGATAGTAGCCGATTCTCAGACCTACTGAATAGGCATATAATTTCATAAAAATCGGTCAAGCCGTTTTTACCATACTCGATAACTAATATTGTGAGACGAGAGTTTTATATATAAGATAAACGTACATATACAAATGTATGCATATATGTAAATAAAATAAGTAGATATTTAACACTTCACTCGACGTTTTGCTTATGTATATGTGTATATTATGTGCATTATAACGGCCTGAGCTGAGGTTCGAACCAGCGGCGCCTTCAGACTAAAGTCGTATCCGTCAGGCGGGAGTTGGCCGCTCCATAAGTCCTTCCGCGGGTTTGGAGTACCATCTGCACTCGCCTCTATCGTCCGGTGAAGCTGTAAAGGCCAGCTGCGGCCAACATTAGAGTAGTCCGAAAAAAATAGTTTTAAAAATATTCTTTTACGCCCATAAAGGTAGATAGATAGACAGACAAGTAGGTATATGCGTAACGATATTAAACAACAAGCCGAGAACCTTCCTTAATACCTAAACCTACCTCCATTTATTTCCCGTATCCGTATCCTAATCTTGAAACACACTTAACGGATTTTGATGCGGTTTTTCCCATTAGAGCATATCTGATTTATTAATAAGGGGGTTGCCTTGGCATTAATTGAACGTAATGGCGGTAAATAAATTAGTCATTCTTAATTTTTATAACTTTTATACCTATGTGATATATATATATAGAGGGTTGGTTAGAGTAGCCAAACGTCCTGTTTTCTCCTAGGTCATGTCCTACTTTTTGTAGTATCCTAGAACGTCCTCAATAGTTTTTAAGAATCGTCCTGGGTTTTGAATCATAAAATTCGCGCGCTTCTTTTAATGTCTTAGTTTGTAAAACATATAATTTTATTAAAATACTTTTCTTAAATACACATATGATTATTTTAATTACTTGAATTTCAATTATCTATTTTCACTACATTTTAATTTAACTATGCGTCCAGTTTTTAAACTGATTTGTCCTGGATAATCCAACTTCAAATCTTGTTTTTTAAATTTGGATTTGGCAACCCTAAAATAGGTAAATACAAAATGTTTAATAGAAATGGCTATATCAAGTCTATTCTCTATGCCCATTGGCCTATTCTATTTTAGACCGTTTAGATAACCCTGTAACAGCATCAGGTTGACCTGGAAACCATCTTGATTAATTCCAGATGAATTCGCCGCTATTGACTAGCTGACCTGACTTATCCTCACCCTATTATCCTCCACTGGTGCCCCACCATCCCCTCAGCGTAGATAGGAGCACCATCCCACCATCGTCAATTAAAAATTATACAAAATATTTCTTTTTGACTTAACATAAAATGGTAAAGATTTTAGTATACGTAGGTAATTGTACCTAAGATAACAGGAAGACTTAAAAGAACTCATCAAAATTGCATTGATTAATAAAGTAAAAAATATACATAATTCCATGATTAATTAATAAGGAAAATATTACTTCTAAGATAGGTAATGAGATAGGTACTAAGATAGGTCAGGGCAGTCCAGCATCCTAGGAAAACTAGATTTCAGATCATAAAGACCAAGTCGTTTGTCTAGTTCTAATTAACACGCTCTCACACACCACAGGCACAAAAAATTGTAACCATAGTTTACGCAGCTTTCATTCAATAATATAGATATGTAGGTATCCTAGATATTCAACAGAGACCTGAGATAATAGTGTAGTATTTGAGTATTGACGGCGATTATTAATAATTATTACAATAGTCCTATAAATGTAAATAAACATTACTGACAAACCAACCTGTTACAACTCGCCTGTCTATTCCAATTCAAGATAGATGCACTAATCCAGTTTTAACACAAACCACATTTCCACTAAATTCTAAAACCACTGTTCACTGTCACAATAAAATCTCTAATCACACATTGTAAAATCCTAATGAAATCAATGTATCGTGTTTTACAAAACACCGAATTCAAGACGTTACTATCGTCTGGACAACATCACTGGTTTTACGATCGAACGTGATTCGTTTTGAATTAGAAGCGGATACGTAGTACAACTAACACCCACGAGCGATAAGGCCCGACTGCCGCGAATGACGGCGAATGTGGTTGGCTGACACCAGACGCGGCGCCAACCGAAAGCTCGAACCAAAGATAAAATAGTGCTTTCAGTTATCGATATTTTTTTAATAGTTTTTTTCTATTAAACCAATTTTTCCTTCTCGTTTTATTTAGGACAACGATAGTTTGCTATTGCACGTGTCACTGCGTTTTTGCCATGAAATACACCTAGGGTACAGTTTTTTACATAATAAACAGTCCTGGTAAGAGAATTGAATTTCGCGGGATTGGCCCTGTACCTATATTATATTTAATATAATGTATAACATATATTAAGCTTATTTGTGTGCCTAATTTAATTGAACTATTCAATCGTTGTATTATATACAGGAATGGGTAACTAAAAATATTCTGAAATTTATTTCATTTAGAAAAATACCTTTTCACGGCTTAATATTGGTAATATTATTAATAACCAAATTAAATTATAACAAAATTAGGGCTGTCAATAACAAAAATAATCACCACAGTCCTTTAAAAATAGTCAGAGATTCTCCGATTTGCTTACAGGAATATACGCTTGTGCTAAGAACTTAATACATAAAGTGTGTTGATTAGTATAAATCAAATTCCATTTCAGCGATAACCAAGGCAAGGTGTCGGCAACTATTTGGATTGCTGCCGGTTTAATTTCCTCCCTGCCGGCAATGCTGGGAGTCAATTTAACGAATCGGAAAGCGGGTATTCTGTATTTTTGTAATTAGAGGCTGGATTCTCAGTACTGCGCTGTTTGATTGTACTGGCTTTAGATGTAAGCGTCGACTCTGTTGTGTTCTCATCTCGTACATGTTTTTATTAGCGTCAGCTTGTAATGGATTTTGAGTTAGGCAAAGCGAGCTGTTTCATGTTATTTCCATTAAAAAATGACCCGGTAGGTTATTATTATCGCCGACCATTTTAGATTTGTTTATATTATTCAATATTAGTTGATCTCTTTATAGATGCATATAATGAAATCAATGTAGTTATACCATATGAAGTAATAGGATTAATTCAAGAAATTGAGTCAATTCATGACAAAAATTTGTTTATCAGCTTAAAGTTTAATTTAGTATTTTAGTATTATTAAAAATGTATTGATAAACGCAAATGTTATTTTAAAATAATTTCAGCTCACAAAATCAAATTAAATAATAATATTAACTTTTTACGTGACCTAATCCCGGGAGATATAGTTAACTATTCCATATTTATTTGTAAAAAAATCCTATGATATTATCTCTGTTATTTAATAAAGAAACATAAATTTCTTGCTCGTTGTTCTTGTGTGTCTCTATCAGAATGAGTGGTAGAATAAAAATGAGTATTCAAAAGTACTTGTAATACATTTATTTGGATAAAGAATATTTCTAGAAATAATTGAAACAAAAAGGTATTTATTTCAATTATTTCTAATGGTAACAGTAGAATAGAATCATTGAAAGTAAGGATAAATATATTAAACAAAAGATTAAATTTAGATTTTCAGAATATAAAATAAAATTTTAATATATTGTTAATATAGTATATTGTCACTTTTATGCACACAATAGACTTTTTGCACATATATTTTCTTACAAAAATAATATTATAGCTATTATCTATATGGTAAAAATGTTAATAATACAAAGAAAAAAAATAGTTAATAAAATAAGGCTATATTTATTTTATTAACTGTTTTTTCTCTTCCTATTTTATTGTTAATGAGCTATATAACCCAAGTCCTTAGCAACAAGGAAAAAGATAACAATTCGCTATTATTATCTTTTTTCTTATTGAATAAATCTATAAACGTCCATGATTCTCATCTTCGAAATATCAATACTAGGAAAAATATGTATTAATATTCAAACATATAATACACTTTCTCGAACAAAACTGTTCTATATTTACACTGTCTGAAGATATATAAATGGACACACCAGTAAAATTAACCCTTTATTACATTGGCTTCAAATAAGATAAAACGAATATCCATATCCGAGATTACTATGCAAATAAGCTGGTTATTTATCTGTATCGATATCAGTCAAACAGCATATTGCATTACCATGATGAACTAAATTACAGAAATGTGGTAAACAGAAGCGAATAAATACGTAATAGCATAACTAAATGCGTTTTTTTTTATTTTCATTTATCGACATTTATTTTATTTTATTTCATCGACATTTTATGACTTCTATTGGTATAGTTGTCGTCCACGCTATAATATTTTTTGAATTTAGAATTTGGCTGTTATTTTTTACCGGCTTTAATGGTCTATAGGGAGTAGGTTTTCTATGTTCGATTGCCATGTTTTTTATGTGTTCTATCGATTTTAGATGCAGCGTTAATTGTGGACATATTTTTTAGTTTGTTTGTCAGAATGTACTATTTTGATAGCCTCCAGTCAATGTCATCTAAGAATCAGATCAATCAGATCAGAATCTGATAATGTAATCCTAATGTAACTGAAAGAAATCCTCAAATATTATAAACATATGTATGTCTGAGTTTTAATTTTTATTTCAGAAAGAATGCTGATAGATTTTAAATTTTATTCCGATGTTAGTTATCTTCAAAATTAAGAATTATCAACTTTAAAACAATGCCCTGTAAATTCAAATTCGCATATCACGTTCAATCGGTACAGAGTATGTAGTAGATAATGAAAATGTGACGTAATAGCATTATATTAGAGTTAGTATCACGTTATGGTGTTAGGGCGAGGCGATAGAATTAATTGGATCTTATGATGCCTACGCTAGGACCACAAATGAAATGATGATGACGAAATGATCTTATAACTATAAATGATTATTATTACTATTTGACGGGTCCGATGGTCCAGCGGTTTAGTACAACGCCTTACTTACGCCATGGTCGCGGGTTCGATTCCACGCATCGGTAATACATCCAGACCAATATAAACAATCATTATCATGAATACAAATGTGCTATGTATAAATTTAGAATAAAATGTGTTTGAGTAGTAGGTATATCTATCGGTTGTTTAGTATCTACGTGTAACAGAAGCTAGTACGTTTTAACTTTCAAGTTATATATGTAGTATAAACATTATTATAAACTACAAAAATACTCATGTAATGTTAATTTTTAATTTTTGAAATTATAGTGAAAACCGTCTTAAAACCTATTGCGTGGTTTACAAGAACTAAATGTAGATACATCGTTATGTCTACAACCACACTACCGCCGCAGAAAAATCGCACATCTAAACGAGTGAGTTGGTTCATTTATCACAATATAGATGCGTAACACCATAGGACAGTGTTGCTCAAACTTGAACACCCGATTCCTATTTAAATTTTAACGGCCTCTTAAGGATCTACGACTTATATCATTATTTTTAAGCATGTATTGTGGTAAATTCTATTTTTTTAATTGTAATGTAAAACTAACAAATGTTTTTTTACCAGTGACCCCCGACAAAGGATTTGCAACCCTCTGAGAATATATTCATTGCTTGGGGGTCATGACCTACATTTTGGGAAACACTGTTATAAGATTTGGAAACAGAGGCACTGAAAGACGAGTTCAACAAACTCTAAGACAAATGAGATCCACGTTTCCTCATTCAACAGGGCAGAAATATGGACACAGATTATCTGATTGATGGAAGTACCCCAATAACTGAACACTCATATTTTATTTTAATCAACTAAGAGCGCTTCTATATATATATATATATATATATATATATATATTGAATATATTCAACTAGCTACTCGCCCCGGCTTCTCACGAGGAAGAGAAGGTTTATATAGAGAGAGGAAGGTTTATATACATAATACATGTACTCCACATGTATTATGTATATAAACCTTCCTCTCGAAGCACTCTATCTATTAAAAAAAACAATTCATAATCCGTTGCGTAGTTTTAAAGATTTAAGCATACATAGGAACAGACAGCGACTTTGTTTTGTACTATGTAATAATGTTTAAGATCTTTAAAAGCCAAATAGATTTTATAAAACTGAACTATTTTCATCAAGTAATGAAAAATATCGATTCGAAGAGCAAAATGTAAATCTAAAAAATCTAAATTGGTTGTGCGCAGATTATCTGATTAATGGAAGTACTCCAACAATTGAACACTCAGATTTTATTCAACAAACTAGTTTTACCGTTGCCGTTTGACGAAAGTTAGTAATTCGTTTTATGGAAATTGCGTAAGATTTTACAACAAACTGCCAGAGTCTGTACTCAATTTGCCAGAAAAAAATTCAAATGTGTTATAAAATATTTTCTTTGTAAAAAAGCTTATTATAAAATTGAAGAATTTATAAATAATAATAATGTTTTTATAGAAGATATCTAACATAAAATTCATAGACAGACAATGTTATCTGATTGAACAGAAATTAAGTACGTAGCGGGTTCTATATTGATTGTCGCATGCCTAATCCTTATTGTTAATTAAATATAACTAAATCAATATTTATTTAAAAGAGCAACACACAAGTTTCTTCCTTATTCTTCTTGTGATGAATAAGCGGTAGAATAAAAAAACTTGACTATTCAAAAGTGCTTATATTAAATATATTTGAATAAAGATTATTTCTATTTCTATTTTAATCAACAAACAGTGTTTCTACATCTTAAACATTATAGTCTACAACCATACTGTCATAGCAGGCAGAGAAAGTCGTAACAGTTGTCAAGTTTCCACACTGAATATTTGTAGTCTCACACATGCTATTGTAACGGAATTGAATAAAATAAGATAAATCCATTAAGTAATGAAATGGACTTCCGCAGAATAACACCTAATTCCAATAAATTAATAATTGTAGTTGATTTAATGAATAATGCAACGATTTTAGGACATTTTTGACATTTTATTAGTATTATTATTATTCTTTCTTTTTATGATGACACAATGTCTCTTCTAGTAATAACACTGATCAAAAGGCGTCACAGAAAAATGATATATTTCTGCTGACTTTGTCTCCGC